AAAAAAAAAAAGAAAACCGAAAGACACAAAAACAAAGAAAAGGCGAAAAAGCAGAAAACCGCGAGCACGTAAAGACGATTGATAAACTGCAAAAAAAAAAAAGAAAACCGAAAGACACAAAAACAAAGAAAAGGCGAAAAAGCAGAAAACCGCGAGCACGTAAAGACGATTGATAAACTGCACCACCTCAAAAACAAAAGGGAAAAAAAAAAAACCCGACTGGGACCAAAGGGATAAAAATGACACAATGGAAGAGATGCCACAAGAGAAAAAGTCATTACTTATATAAATATATAGAAATAAAAATATAGAAACCGAATGCAATAAGTTTCCATAACAAACATTTCGAAAAGAACAAGAAACTCATCCCGTGGGGCAAAGTTCCACTAGCAGCGTTGAGCTACCTCAACGCCTGAATCTGGACGTGTTTGTGGAGACGTGCAGTTCAGGAAACTCAACACCATTTCTGCACATCTCCGCAAAAGCGTCCAGATTCAGGCGTTGAGGTAGCTCAACGTTGCTAGTGGGACTTGGCCCCTGCCCCATCCACACTCCCCACCCTCGCCAGACCCAACCAAAGAGAAAACAGAGAGACAGAGTGACACACCCACACACACACACAAACAAACAGACAACGCAAACACAAACACAAACACATAGACACACACACACACACACACACACACACGCGCGCGCGCGCGCAAAGCACAAAGACATAGACACACACCTGGAACTTTGCGAGCTTTCGTTGGCTTCCCGAGGTATTCTCCGGCTCTCCAGAATTGCCGACAAGAGACTCCCGGCTTCGTTAATTGATTGGCTGATCCCGATCCCGTTCCTCCAGACGGGGCAATCAGCGGAGCAGCTGCGACCATGACTGCTGACTGCGTTGCCGATCCCGATCCCGATGCCGAACCTCCACCTGCTCCTCTCCATGACGACGCGCTTGCAGGGAACCCCCCGATCAGACCATTGAGCAGGCCGCTGGACTTCGTCCGCATGACCTGCATACCACCTGCTGCCTTTTGGCTGCCGCTGCTGCTGCTGCCACGTGGGGCTTCTGCTTGACAGTGAAGCGCACCCAAAGCAGACCGATTGTAAACCAAAGACCCATCAAAACCGCCGCCATTGCCAGAATCCTCTCCTCCTCCTCCTCCTCCTCCTCCTCCTCTTCCTCCCTCACCTCCCCCTTCTCTCTCATCTCTAGCGTACGAAGGCTCTGTCTTCACGGTCACTAAAGGGAACGTCATCCCATTACCGATGACTTGTCTCTTCTCCTCGGCCACCGTGCGGAAGCACATCGCTCCCAACCTCTCCCCCACCCTTCTCC